GGTAAAAAGAAGAGGTAAGTAGGAAGAGACCACTGACCCAGGACAACTAACCATCAATAAAGAAAACTGCTGCCTACTTGTTTCTTAGATTCTTCTTGGAGGAGTCTGAAGGGAAACTGGGGGCTGAGAGGAGGCAGTACAGAGGGGAGAGGATGTTGAATGGAGAATTCATGATTATTACTGCACAGCTAGAGGTGTCATTTGCTGGGTTTCAATATTCAGCCCTTTAGACACAAAGTTCTGGACCCGAGTGGGCCTGAGATTGTATATTTTTTCTCTAGCACATACATTGAGCACCAATGGTCTGCCAAGCACTGATCAGGTACAGAGGGGATGAGAGAGATGGGATGAAGGTGATACTGAGCGCTCACTATGTGCTGCCTGCCTGTGCACTGGTCCCCCCACCACCCTTCAGGCTTTGGCCATCCCTTTGTTACAGATGGGGAAACTGAGGCTAGGGATTGGAGCGGGGCAAAATAAAGGCTTCTAGAAGGAAGGAAATGTGTCAACGACCAAACGCCATTCTGGGGAGGAAAGTGCAACCCACCAGGCAGGCAGGGAGGGAGGGGCTGGCATGGCACCTTTAGCCCTATCTGGGGAGTCGCGGCCCATTTCTTACCCCAGGAAATTTGGGGCTCCGTAACCAACCCACTCTGAGCCTTTTCCCTCAGCACTTGCTCAGGCCCAGAAAGAAATTCACAGTGAGCCTGATGGGGACAGGGCCTCCATGCCTCTGTGGGGAGGACTGGGGGTGAGGAGTGTGCTTTCAGGACCAAACTGAAGACCACTTTGACCAAAAAAGGGCTCCCCGCCCAGCCTGGGCCACGGTGCTCCATTGCTTCTCCTCAGAGTCAGGGAAGGCCTCCGTTAAAACGGAACATGTGACCTGGGATGAAATGGCTCAGTAACGTGCCACCTGTCACTAGCACCTCCTTGTAAAGGCAGCCTAGGGCGGTGGTTCTCACACCTGAGCCTGCAGAGGAATCACCTGAGACAGTCTTAAAAATGCCAGCTCCTGGGCCCTGCCTCCACCCTGGAATCCGTTTGGTTTTTGTCGTTTGATTTTTTTTCACCAGATCCTAACTCTGATTCAGATGTTCCAAAGACAACCCTTTCAGGAAAGAATGATATAGTGGAAAGAGGACCAGACGTATACAGCTGGATTCTGGATTTAGATTCAAAATCTGAGTTGTTAACCTCAGGCAAGTAACCCTGAGGCGTCTTCCTTATAAAATGTGGGTGATAATGTCTCCATCACAGGGTGCTGGGAGGATCAAAGCACCAAGCACAACACACACCAGTGCTCACTAAACAGGGACTGAATGACTTCATCAGGCCAGCCAGGCTCCAGAAACCAGAGAAGTCGGTTTTGGTGGGCTGGGGAAAGAAAGGGCAAAACAGGCCCGGAGATGAGGGGTGCCCCCGCATCAGTACACAGGTCCTGAAGAGGGGGGATCCTGACAGGGGGCCAGAGGCAGCAGAGCAGCCTAAAGCCAGAGGCTCCCACTAAAGCCCCCCCTTCCCAGCATCAGCCTGTGTCCTGTTAGCTCCCGACATAACATTTCTAATCCATTATTTTCCCAGAGAAGGCAGTCAATAAAGACACATGAAACCTTGATATCCACACATACACAAATAAATAACACAGTCACACACAAAAAGATACAAGGTAGGAAATGTGGAGAAAAGAGGAGAAAGATGGGAAAAGTGGGATGGCAGGCCAAGCCCAGTCAAGTCACATTTTCCGGTTTGCTGGTGCTGGTAACAAGTGGGCACTGTGCCGCCTGCCGTGGAGAGGCCCAAGAGGAGAGGCCATGAGGCTCGCCCATTAGGACATGTCCAGGCTGAATACAGAGTCCGTGCAAAGAATGCAGGACAGCACGGAAGGTGGGTCCAGGGAGGAGAGGTGTGTGTGCAAGAAGGCTGAGATACATTTCCCAGCAAACTTCAGATTAACAGGGGTCGGCAAACTTTTGAGATGGAAGAGCCTCCAGGGGTCAGCAAACTGCGGCTCACGAGCCACATGCGGCTCCTTGGGTACGTACATGCGGCTCTGAAGTAAAATTGAAAATGGAAACAAAACTATCATAGTTTCACTTATAAAATTTTTCAAGGATATTATTCACATAATGGAGATTATTTAAAAATATATTTACGGCTGTCGAATAATTTTTAAATTGTTGTGAGGAACAGGATTGGCTCTTCCAGGGGTCGGCAAACGTTTGAGACGGAAGGCACCCAAAGAGCCACATGCGGCTCGCGAGCCGCAGTTTGCCGACACCTGGATTAGTAGAACGGAAATCTGAATTTCTGAGCTGTGGGTGGGGGGCATACAAGACCACAATGAAGAGACTGGGTAAGTGGAGTGAAGTGTTTTAGGAGGGAAACACTGGGGTATTCTTGGATCAATAAAGCAGACTGGAATTAAGACAAGTTTTAAATGCCCAGATGAAGAATGGCCTTGCTTCAACCCTGTCCACAACAGCATGTCTTTGCTCTCCAGGTCTTTGCTCAAGCTCTTCCCTCTACCTGGCATGCCCTCCCTCCTTCCAGCCTGTCCCATCTCCTTGCACTCTTCCTCATCCTTCAAAGCCCAGCTGTGACTCTCCTAGCTCCTCCTATGCAGAAAAAATGTCTCCCTCATCTGTGTCTGTTTGATGTTTTGCACACCCCCCCATATTTTGCATTGTTTTGTGGCTATTTCTTTATGTCTCTTTATCTCCCAGGTGGCCATTAATCATCTGCTAGCCTGTCAACAAATTGAGGGCAAGGATATTGTCTTGTTCTTCCTTTAAGCCCCAGCACATAGCAACAGTCCCTGGCACACAGCAGATGCTCAAAATAATCTGCTGGAGACAAATGAAATAGACGTGAATACTGGGGAGCCATTGTAATTTCTTGAGAGAAATGATGTGGCAAAATCAGAATTTTAGGAATATTAATCTGTCAGCATGAACGACGATGGATTAAAATAAAGAAAGAGACTTGTGGCCAGCAGTCAAGAGCGGAGATTATTACTGTAATTTGGACATAAGGTGGGGGCAGAGGGAATGGAGACAGAAAAATAATTTTCTGCAATATCACAAAAGAATGTGGAAAGCATTTGGTAGCAAATAAGCTACAAATGTGGGTAATGGGATGGGGCAATAGCGGGTACTCAAACATCTGAGATTCCTGGACAACTGGGAGAAAGGTGGTACCATGAGAGAAATGTGGGGGACCTAGAAAGAGAGGGTCAATACTTGGCCTCTCTCCAGGATAATTGACTGCAATCACAACCAGCATATCTAGGCAAAACAAAAACCAAAACCACAACACCTCCAAATCAGAAGTTTCAACCCTGACCTTACTCCCCAACTCTGGGTTGTATTTTATTTCCTAAAAACCAGTTAGAAACATTTCTTCATGGCAGAGGAGAACTGAGATGAAGATAAGACCAGCCTGGTACCCTGCTCAGGGCTCAGCATGCAGGAGATTACATGAGCTCAATCACCAGCCCTCCCTACAAGAGACCAGTTTGATGTATTGCTTATTCAGTAAGTGCTCCATCCAGTATTCTGATTACCCACTCTCATTTCCCAGGCCGGGACCTCTGGGAAACCCCTGCTCCACTCCTGCAAAGGCTTATAGGAAAGTCCCAGTTCTCCCATCTCTGCTTCCTTGCATTAATCCCAGGGGGAGGATTTTGTTTTCTAAAGGAATTCAACTATTGTGCCAACAAAAATCTATAGGAATTGAAGGGTACTCAATTTAAATCACATTTTTTAAATGTTTGCTTCTTTGTATATTGAGACCCAGCAAGAGCCCATGAATCCCAACCACTTCATCACCTCTATCAATGAAGTATAAGACATGTGCAGGTTATGCAGGTTTTAAGTGTTGTGTGATCTTTGAAAAATCGATTCAGTGCCTGGGTGCCTTCTGCCGTGAAATGACAATTGGACAAGATAATTCCTTAGACCTCTCTTGGGTCTCTCTTTCTCTTACTCCAAATCCCAACAGGCATTCCATGATTGCTCAGCTACTCAGGTCCAAGGCTTCAGATTCACTTACTGCCTTGCAAAGGGGTGAAGCATGCTGGGATGGGGGGGGGGCACAAAGGAGACAGAAGAGACACAAGTATGCACATTTAATAGGCAGTAGTGGAGGCTGGAGGGGCGGGGGGCTGAGTGTGGACTGACTGCTTAGGAAACACCAGCCCCACAAATTCCAGATGCTAAGTGGACCTGAGAACAATCTGAAAGCCCCCTTCCCAAGTTAGGGCTGATGTTATTTCAAAGTAAAAAATATTAACTCACAGATCCCTAAAGCCCCAAGGTGAGCTAGCTCTGTAAAAGCTAATTCTGTGAGCGCGCCAAGGGACTGCAGGTACTTGGGCTGCACTCCGGGAAGTGTCCAGAGTTGGAGGAAACAACCCATCCACTCCGGCTCCCACAGGCACTGGGCTGCCGCGGTTTAGCTGAGACACACACACGGATTAGCAGAGACACACAGACGGGTTTGAGGCTTTCTAGAAAACAGAGTGGCGAGGCCCCTACGCGCCGACCGAGACTCGACCAGCTAGCTCTCCGGCCCCCGGCTGGAAGTAGGCGAGGCTGGAGTGGGGGCGCACGGGCTGGCTGTGCACTCGCCGGTCCCCTCTGCCGAGACCCAGAGAGCGCGGGCCGCAACTCCAGGACGGCCGAGGTTGACGGTCCCTAGAGTTTCAGAGTTGGAGGGCGGAGGGGTGAGTGAGTGCTGGCGCCGGCGGAACAGAGCAAATCCTCCAGGAAGGAAAGAGAGGAGGCGCAGCCGTCGGCACGGACCAGGCGCGGCTGGCTTCCCGAGCCCGGTGCCGGCGCAGCCCCGCGGCGCCCCGGACACACCCACTGCGCCCCGCCGCCTAGCGCCCGCCCGCCCCGCGGTCCAGAGGGAGCCCGAGAGGCGGCAGGGGCCGGGTCGGGGTCGCGCGGGCAGAGAGCAGGGGGCGCGGGGCGCGCGGCGCGGGCAGCTCTGCTCACCTGGCGGTCCGCGTCCTGGAGCGGCCGGCGGCCGCCTCGCCTCACCTCGCCCCGCGTGGTTCCCGGCGCCGGGCAGCCCGAGCCCGCCGCATGGACGGCCGCCGCCGCCCCGCGCCCGCCCTGCACCGGCTCCCGCTGAGCCCCGGTTCTGTGTCCGGCTGCGCGGGCGGCCAGCGGCTCGGGCGCGCGCGCAAAGCTCTGGCTCGAAGTTTGGGATCCGGAGAACCGGGACCCGTGCTCCCTCCGTCCGTCCTCCCTCCCCCACTCGCGGCCTCCTGCTGTCATCTGGAGTCGCTCCTGGCGCCCCCTGGCGGCCGCCTCAGGAAGGACCGGCCCTCAATCCACACCTGAGACTCCAGAGGGGCCCCCTTCAAAGATGAGCGAGGCTGATCTCTGGGTACCACCAGTCTGTAGATAGGAGGACAGTCTACAGAGGCAATGAAGGCAGGAGGATAGCAAGAGTGGAATGAAGAGTGGTCTGGGCGGACCAGGCCCCGCCAAGTGAGAGGCAAGACCAGGAGGTGAGAACAGGAGGTGAGGTAGGGCCAGATGACGGAAGGCCTTGAATTCCGCGTGAATCTTACCCTGGGGTTTGTGGGCGCCACTGAAGGACGGAAGCACAGGAGGACATGGGCATCCTCATCTTTTGGAACGACCATTCTGGCTGCGACGGGGTGGGGCTGAGGCTGAAGCAGGGAGCCAGCAAGAAAAATTGCAGTGAGCCACAGCAGAGAAGGCAGTGACTAGAAGGCCAGAGACAGAAGAGCCCTGGTCTAGAGGGCACGTGCAGTCGCGCCCACCCGCATACTTGCACACAAGGGAAGCCTCACTGGGCTCCTTCTGAAGGCAAGACAGAAGGACAAGAGCCCTCAAATTCTAACTAAGGCTGGACAACGTGGGGGAGAGAGAGAACACGCCGCCTGACAGCCAGAGCAGTCCAGCAGTGCTTCTTGTCTTGTTCAGGGTAATGTGTGGGAAGAAAAAACAAAACCATCATCGTCATCAAACTTTGATCTGTATAGTCAAGCCCTTCTTTTTACTAATTAGGAAATATTGTCCCAAAGAGGGCATGACTCAAATTACACAGCTAATTCATGGCAGGAAAGTTACTGAAGCCCAGTTTCTTGACTCCTAACACGGTGCTACATTCTTAACATTCACACTGAGGTATTTAAAGCTGGTAAGTGGGAAATAGAGTGACAGAGAGAAAACGTCCCTCCTTTCCCAGGAGGGAGTGGGGATGGACTTAAACATTTGAAGGGGTTGTCGCACACAAGTAGTCTCCCTAAAAATGAGTCAGCCTGCTTGTTTATCACTGCCTCCAGGGCCTGCTGGCAGGAGTTGCTTTAAGGTGCAGATACAGGAGTGGGACAATGAAGGTGGCAGAATGCAAGCTGCCTGCCCCAGAGCCAAGCCGAACCAGGGATGGGTGCCCTGTGTGGGAGAGAAAGGAGAGCAACAGGGCAGAGAGCTCCAGGGGAGAAATGAACAAGAGAGAAAGTGGCACCGCAAGGGGTTGGCCCAAAGAAAGAACCAACTCTGAGTGCTGACGACAGGCCTGGAGCGTGGGCAGAGCCAGTTCTCACTGATTCAAGCTGAATAAAATGGATGAAATAATTCCACACTCGATCAAACAGTGCTGATTGGAGGCACCTGGTGTGAGTGGGATTGAATTAATTCTGAGTGTCATAAGCCCCATGGGTCAAGGTTAAGTGGATCTAACAGCTCTAGTAAACCCTGGCCAGTTTAAACCATTTAAAATGATAGAAAACTAACACAACATTGGAATGTACTTAATGCTGCTAAATGGTACACCTGAAAATGGTTAAAATGGTAAATTTTACATAATGCATACCTTACCACAATTTTAAGAAAGAAAGCAAAACTAATAAAATGTGTTCAAATTGGATTGATTTATTAATTCATTTAAGAGACATGTACTGAGCACTGAGCAGGGCATTGGTGTTAGGAAGTAAAAATGAAATGGAAAAGAAAAAATACGTTCCAGTCCAAAAGCAGCTCAGAATAAGGTGAAGAAGTGTCACATAGTCAGAAAATCACGCAGTAGGTGGTAGGTATAATTAGGGAATATGCAGAAGTATCTGAGGACTCATGGGAAGGGGGTGGGAATCTGGGATGTTCCTCCTCAGATGAGTTTTGGAGGATGAGCAGAGTCCATCAGGCAGGGCATGGTGTGCACAGGGCTCAGGGGCAAGGTACATGGGGTTTGGGTTTTTTAAAACTAATTTTAGACTTACAGAGAAGTTGCCAAAATAGTACAAAGTATTCCCTTCTATCTCCCACCCTTCTTCCCTTAATGTTAATATCTTTCATAACCAAAGTATAATTATTTATTGACCAAACTTGACCCACCTGACCTAGGCTGGCTCTTCAGAACTGATCTGATCCACTTCAAACTTGGTCAAATTGTCATGACCATATTTTGGTTACATATCACAGAATGTTCTTTATTTAAAAGTCAGAGACTATGCTGTGAAATCTACTCTAATTTTAAACAAAGAGCTATCTCTATTAGGCACCAGTGAATATTAATTATTAAAAACGAGTGTTTCATATTTTAGTCCTATTATGTTTCTTCTTTGATCCATGTGTGTATGTATGTATGTACGAATCAGATTGGCAAGGTTGGGTCCTGTGTCTGAGACATGCTACTGACCCTCTCCAACAGAGAAGACAAAGCAGAGTAGGTGCCTCAGATCACAGAGGCCACCCCACCTGTCTCCCTGGCATGTCAATGTCTTCTACACACATCTTGGCATGTGGGTTGTTAGTTGCCCTTTTGCACATCTGCAGTAACAAGGTGCTCACTACCTCATAAAATAGCCCGTACTGTTGTTGGGGCCCCTCTATGAGAAAGCCCCTTTCCATTTTGAACCTTTTTCCAGATGACGACTACCCATTGGCCCTAGAGGTAGCTCCTCAAAAGACAGAAAGCACAACCCCTCTGTCGTGTGCCAACTCTGTATATGTAGGACAGTCCTAGTTTACACTTGTGGTACTGGTATAAATTATTAATGAATAATTAGTAGTGCCCCCTTCTCTCCGTTGTCCCAGTTACGATGATAAATGACCTGATCATCCTGCAGGAGACTTCCACTACCCACATAAGGCACCACCTACGTCACTAAGGCAGCCCCCTGCCTGGGGCCACAGCCTCAGGGTTCAGCCATTCCTCCTGGGGCTGCAGAGCACAGAACTGGACTAGAGCAGAGTGAGAAGAGGCTGCAGGAAGGCAACATGGGGCAGTGGGCTCTGTGCGGGACTCACCGGTAACACAGCCTCTGTACTTCCCTAACAAGCACTGGCTGTGAAGCCTTTTCCCCGAAGAGCATTTCTGGGGGCTAGAGTCCCAAAAGTTACACTTTTATAAACACTGTTCTCCATTCTTGACAAACACTGGTGTTTTCGTCCTGATGGCATCGCAGGGGATTGTGTCCCAGCCTGGAAGGAAACCCCTATATTATCCCTACGTTGTCAATGTTCAGAGGCAGAACGGAAACAGACAGGTATTCAAACCCCTAATTTCAGGCTCCAGCGAGGTACTAGGATCCATCACAATGCTTACAAAAATTGTTCTCTTCATTTTCTTGGTTGTAAACCTTTGTAGATTGTAAAGTCAAGGTAAGCTGTGCCCCGTGACTAATAAGGAAATAAGGGAGGCGTGGTAAACAAACAAAGCAAAACAAAACACTAGCTGGTAAATTTGTTTTCAGCGATTTCTAAGCACTTCAGGTGAGTATTAAGAAACTTTCCCTCCGCTGCTTGCCTCCCTAACCCAGTTCTTTCTCTTCCTGCTCCAAGGGATGTGGGATGTTGACCTGAAGACCAAGTTCCCTGCACCTGCCTGGGGCTGGTTCCCTCCTGGACCCGTAATCCATGGCTAGGCAAGAGACCATCTGCAGCCACAGCTCTGGGGACAGAAGCAAAGTGGTGTCCAGGTAGAAAGCAAGGGTTCCTGTGAAGTGTCAGTCTGCAGGCTACGTTGCAGGGTATTAAATTCTCCTTAGAGCTTCACTCGCATTCTCTTTCTTGCCCCAGTCCCATCAGCAGAGATAGAAAACTTCGTGTTACCTGGTATAAGACAACTTTTGGAATCCCAAGTATTCAGATTATTTCCTTTCCCCTCTTTGCATGTGATAATACTCACAGCTAAAAGGCATCACCCAGGTTGAAACAGCTGCTCTCCAGGAGCTGCGAGGCTGAGCAAGACAGAAGGTGAACATCATGGCCCCCAGATTCACAGGCTTCGTTTCTCCCAGTGATGATTAACTGAGTGAAGACAATGGATAGCCATGGAATCCGTCCATTGGCAAGTGCCTGCTCCTCTCAAACATGACTGATCATTCATCCATCCAACCTGTATTTACCGAAGCTGACTATGAGTGCTTAAAGGGAGGACGAGGAACGATAGCCAGAGTCAGAAGGGGCATGGTGGGAGAGACCATTCTAGACAGAAGCAAGCACACTTGCAAAGGCCCTGAGGGAGATATGATGCACTCAAGTAGCAGAAAGAAGGGCTATGTGGCCAGGGCTCCAAATCCAAGAGAGAGAGGAAGGAAGTGGGGTGCCAGTGGCTGTGATTTACACGTGGGATCACTTCTAGGCATGATTAATAATCCTGTGATAACCTAAACGGTGCAGGCATGTTTTATCAGAACAGATAGAGGCCACAGGCTGAAGCAGGGTCCTGGAGCCCCCTGCTGCCCTAGATGCTGGATCTGGGAGCAGTCCAGGGGTCCCAGAGTAGAAAAAGTGGGCAGGAAGACAGCTTGGAGTAGTGGCTACTAATCAATCAATGCAGACATAAGTATATCATTTTGTAAATGATTGGGATACCAGTCCTGTACAAATCTGGTAGAAGTTAGTGACACTTCTAGCTATTTTTGTGAGTTGGGTTATTTTCACATGAGCAAGTGGAATCCTCTGAGGGGCTTTAAGTGGGGGCTGACATGATCAGATCTGTGTTTATCCAAAGGGAGAAGGAAAAAAAAATCCCCATGATTAAGGAAAAACAGGTAACGCAAAAACATTCCACAACTGTTTTGTAATGAAAAAATAATAAACAAATACAAAATAAAACAAATCTGTCATTCTAAAAGAATGCCCTGTGTTTGCCATCCCCTGCTTCCTGAGAGACTGTCCTAAAAAAATCTTGCCTGTCACCCATTACCCATGTGGCCCTCGTGACTGTGACCGGCACTGCAGGTCTCCAAGCCGGCTGGT